TGGCTGGCGCCTTAGCCGGTTGAGCTATAGGCGCCGAGCCCACTAGTTTATTCTTAACCTGTAAGACCAGTACTACAAAAAACCTTTCAGGCTCCAAGGCTATACAATGGTCCAGAATTTACAGAAAATCCCAGTGTCAGAGGTGTACCAAATGTTCCCTGGATACAGACCACTGACTTTTTACTTTTGGTATAGTAAGAGACAGGGTTATATCTTCAGGTCTCTCTCACGTGTGACTCTTAACTTGATTTTTCTTGTCAGGAGTTAGTGTGTGAGTTATGAAGAGACTAGCCTCTCCTGTCGCACTGTTGCTAGCTTTTTCATCAGTAGAATCAGGCTAGAAGTTTTGTATTAGTCCTAAATAATTCCTTTCTGCTTCAGCCAGTTGCTTTCTGATAAGCAGCCTCTGAATTGCTCCCCGAGGAATTAATCCTGAATGATTAATGAGACTTCCTAATGAAGCTCTTTTCTTTTGCAGCCTCCTAATTTTCCCTACAAAGATGATATCATGTCCGTGAATCCTACCTGTTTGGTCCTTATTATTCTTCTGTTCATTAGCATTATCTTGACTTTTAAGGTAAGCGTGGGAATTTTACTTATGGTCTAAATATTGTTTTCCTGAATGCCAAAGAAGTAAATAAACTTTAATCAGTTCATTGTCTTATTTTTGTATCTGAGCTGCTTTTTCATTTTCTATCATTACAGTTCCTTCTGTTATCTACAGAGGGTGCCAAAAAAGCATGTACGTATTTTAAGAAAGGAAAAAACTGTATTGTATTAAAGTTTTTTTTGGTGGAAGGCCATACAGTCTCACTCTATCGCCCTGTGTTGAGTGCAATGGTGTCACAGCTCACAGCAACCTCAAACTTTGGGCTTAAGCAGTTCTCTTGCCTTAGCCTCCTAGGTAGCTGGGACTACAGGCGCCCACCACAACGCAGTGCTATTTTTTGTTACAGTTGTCATTGTTGTTTTAGCTGGCCGGGGCTAGGTTCAAACCTGCCAACTTCACTGTATGTGGCTGGCACCATAACCACTGTGCTATGGTCCCCAAGCTAAATTTGTAATACTCCTGTCATGTTTGACTGCTGCAAATATAATTGGCAGTCAATTTGACTTTGATTCATCTTTTGTAATTGGTACATATTGAATATTATAAATTCAATACAGTTTTTTCCTTTCTTAAAGTGTGTATACGTTTTGTTGGCACCCTCTATATATTAGAGATAAAGATTAATTATGATTTCATAAGCTAATCAAGGGCTATTCAAAAATATCTTTGGAATAAATTAATAAAATAGTTAAATCTAATAGTAGAATTGAGGGGAAGAGGGGAAAGTAGTTGTATAGTACATTGTTTGTTTGTTTATTTATTTATTTATTGAGAAAGAGTCTCACTCTGTCACCCTGAGTGCCGTGGCATCATGGTTCACAGCAACCTCAAACTCTTGGGCTTGAGCAGTCCTCTTGCCTCAGCCTGCTGAGTAGCTCAAACTACAGGTACCTATCACTATGCCTGGCTAGTTTTTTATTTTTTTATTTTTTTAATTTTTTTAATTTTTATTTATTTATTTATTTTTTGAGACGGAGCCTCAAGCTATCCCCCTGGGTAGAGTGCCATGGCATCACGCTCACAGCAACCTCCAACTCCTGGGCTCAAGCGAGTCTCCTGCCTCCACCTCCCAAGTAGCTGGGACTACAGGCGCCGGCCACAACGCCTGGCCATTTTTTGGTTGTAGCCATCATTGTTGTTTGGCGGGCCCGGGCTGGGGATTTGAACCCGCCACCTTAGGTGTACGTGGCTGGCGCCCTAGCCGCTTGAGCCACAGGCGCCGAGCCTAGTTTTTTATTTTTAGTAGAGACGGGGTCTTGCTATTACTCAGGCTGGTCTCGAACTCTTGAGCTCAGGCAATCTGCCTGTCTCATCACTTCCAGAGTGCTAGGATTACAGACCTGAGCCACCACACCTGGCCCTACATAGTTTATGTTGTAATACTGCAACGTCCATTACAATGCCTATGTAATAGACAATCATTTGTAATTTGTATTTAGAATGTTACATATTCTAGACACTGTTCTATATCCATTAAGTGCATATCATTATTTAGTGAATTACGTATGGTCAGACTTTGAAGCAGTTCTCACTTTTTCACTTATTCACGGTGCTGCAGTGAATATATTTAAATATGTTCTTGTATACATATGTATTTATTTCCTCAATATACATTTCTTAAAATCAAGGGTATGCATAGTTTCAAAGCTTTTGATAGATTGTCAAACTGTTGCTCCCAAAAGTTAAAGGACTTCTACTTCATTATCAGTATCGCATTACCTTTATCAGGTGAGGACCACGTGTTTTTTGTCCTAGTTAATCTGTGTATAAAAAGATCATAATTTGTGTGTGTGTGCTACTAACTGGTAGACAATTCTCAAAATACACCTTGAACTTTCAAATCTCAATACCCTTCGTTGCCTTTATTTTGGCATAAAATTATCCCATTCAAAAATCAAGCCCTAGTAAGCTGGAGGAAGCTGCCTCTCAGTAGTGAAGTCATGTCGGTACTATGATGAAGAAGAGTAGAAAGAAAATGGTTATTAAAAATCAGTGGGCTGGACACGGGGCCTCGCGCCTGTAACCCTAGCACTCTGGCTGGCCAAGGTGGGATGATTGCCCAAGCTTAGGAGTTTATGACCTGCCTGAGCAAAAGAGAGATTCCATCTCTGCTAAAAATAGAAAAATTAGCTAGTGTGGAGGTAGGTGCCTATATCCCAGCTGCTTGGGAAGGTGAGGCAGGAGGATGGATGGCTTGAGTGTAGGAATTCCAGGCTTTAATGCACTATAATGGCACCTGCGAATAGCCACACCAGCCTGGGCAACATAGTGAGACCCTGTCTCTAAAACAAAATAGAAAAGAAAAAATAAATTGAGTCTGAATTTTCCCTCGTAAAACACCACTCTGAATTGTTTGACATTGTATGTGTAGTTTGGAGGGTTGAGAATTTGAGTGAATTTTATCCATGGTTGTTGGGGTCCACAGGCTTACTGCTCCAACTCCCTGGCTCCAACTTTCTGACTACTCAGTTGTCACCCCGTGTTGTCCTCTGACTTCCAAGCCTGTGATGTTAGGGCTGGCTGTCACCTAAGCAGCAGGTATTAATGGCAGTGCTCACTGGTGAAAGGCCACTGAGTCTCAAATCTCTCTTATTGCAGTTTGTCTTTTAAGGATAGACTACTTTTTCACATCTGCCTTCTTTGAGTCATTCTCTCATGCCTTAACATGTATGTGTGCACAAGTGCGTGTGTATGTAGGCATGTATTCCATATTTTATAATTTTTACCTAGAGGAAGATTAGTCTTTCTTTTTTTTTTTTGCAAGGTTAGTCTTCCCAAGCCAACTCCGCCATTGCCAGGTGGGTTAGGAGCTAGGGCCTCCAAGTTCCTTTTATAAAGGCTTTTTAATTCTGCAGGCATTTTCACTTGCACTGGAAACACCCATGTTGGGTTTTGTCAGAGGATCTAGGGTTGGCTTCTAGCACTATTGCTACTACCTGTGTGGTCAGAGCCTCAGTTTCTTCCTTTACCAAATAGCAATAATAATCAATACGACATCCTGCAGGGTGACTGTGAGATAAGCGATGGAAAGGTTTGTCATTTATTCATTTATTCAGTAAATATTTATGAAGAATCTCTTATGTGGTCTGGGTGTAATGGCTCACGCCTATAATCCTTGCATTTTGCCAGGCCAAGGTGGGTGGATTGCCCAAGCTCAGGTCTTTGAGATCAGCCTGAGGAAGACCAAGGTCTCATTTCTACTAAAAATGGAAAAACTAGCCAGGTATTATGGCAGGTGTCTGTAGTCCTAGCTGCTTGGCAAGCTGAGATAGGATGATCACTTGAGGCCAAGAGTTTGGTTTCTGTGAGCTATGACGCTATGGCACTCTACAGATGGTGATTAAGTAACTAGATTCAGTCTCAAAAAAAAGAAATCTCCTATGTGGCAGGTTCTGTTCTAGGAACTGGGGTGTGGTAGTAAATAAATCCTTGCTCTCTGTGGTACTTTTATAAATTGCAGAACGCAAATTGATTACCATGATGTCAGATAAAAGGCTTGTGTACTTTTTTAAAATTATTTTTTATTAAATCATAACTTTGTACATTGTGCAATGTAAAATGCTTACATTGAACTAAGTAACACATCCATCACAATTATACTCATTTCTTAATAGTTCTGAAATGTGGCTCGGCACCTATAGCTCAACTGGCTAAGGCTCCAGCCACGTACACCTAAGGTGGCGGGTTCGAATCCCCAGCCCGGACCCGCCAAACAACAATGACGGCTGCAACCAAAAAATAGCCGGGCGTTGTGGCGGGCGCCTGTGGTCCCAGCTACTTGGGAGGCAGAGGCAAGAGACTCGCTTGAGCCCAGGAGTTGGAGGTTGCTGTGAGCTGTAATGCCACGGCACTCTACCCAGGGGGACAGCTTGAGGCTCTGTCTCAAAAAAAAAAAAAAAAAAAAGTTCTGAAATGTATGTACCATTGCATCATGCACATGTTCTATTTCTTTTTTTACATCTATCTCTTCTGTACTGACTAGACTGCATTTCTTGAGCGGTCTGTTACTTGTTTATGTCCCTCTTAGCACTAAGCTGATGGCCTTGTGCCTAGAGTCTCAGTCACTGTTGTTTTCTGTTAATGTGGGTGTGCGTGTCGTGTTTGATCTGTCGGCTTACTGCATTCATGGCTCTCACAATCTGAATTGGTTCTTACTGTTTACGTTTTGTTACTATGCTGGTTTTCTGAGAGCCCAAATTGGGACACGTGTGAGCTTAGTTCTGTCTTTAAGAGAGAAAAGGAAGCAATGTGTTATTACCGCCTATTTCTGCAGAACTGACAGGAGAAATTGTTTAATTCAAGATACAGAAATGTCAAATAAGAAAAAGGTCACTGAAAGCCCGTACAGATTGTTAGAGACAGCAGGCAGAGGTTTTTCTCCAGTGGGAGTGTGTGGTGAGCAAATGCTTGCGACCTCACAGGAGCCCTTGAGAATGTTGACTGTGGGCTCGCGGAGGCCCCGGCACTAGGTGCTGCCTGTTGTGTGTTGTGGGGTCTCTCAGGTATAGGTTTGTCATTTTAAAGGCCTCACATCTGAAAGTTTCTGTCTTTTTTTTTTTCCACTTTGTCACCCTTGGTAGAGTGCCATGGCATCATAGCTCACAGCAGCCTCAAACTCTTGGACTCAGGTGATTCTCTTGCCTCCCAAGTAGCTGGGACTATAAGCACCTGCCATAACGCCCAGCTGTATTTAGAGATGGGGTCTCGCTCTTGCTCAGGTTGGTCTTGAACCCATGAGCTCAGGCAGTCCACTCACTTCAGCCTCCCAGAGTGCTAGGGGTACAGGTGTGAGCCACGCCTGGCCTTAGTTTCTGTCTTTTTTTTTTTTTTTTGAGACAGAGCCTCAAACTGTCGCCCTGGGTAGAGTGCTGTGGCATCACAGCTCACAGCAGCGTCCAGCTCCTGGGCTTAAGCAATTCTCTTTCCTTGGCTTACCAAGTAGCTGGGACTACAGGTTCCCAC